AATTAAATAATCTATTTACTCAATGTTTCTTGTCTTCCCTTTTGATAAGGAAGTGCACTTTGGTATTGAATGGAATTTAATAAATGTGTAATTACAAATAATTTGAAATACAGGCACTGAGACACACAAGTTTCAATTACATTGGGGGGACATATTTTGATTGGCTTGTCGGTAGATGTGGCAGTACACTTGAACCATATTTCTAAGTGATTATGAAATTCCAAATAATGGCATGCTTAAGCCCTTTTAAACATTCTAAATTGAATTCCAAATCATCTAAATTTAATACTTTTTATTTCATTGCAATTAACATGCAATTAAGAATCTGAATGCAGTACATTCAGTTCGGACTGGAGTATGCTTTTAATGTATATTATTTACATATTTACTCTTTTTTTAAAGTATGCTAAAGTGTACTTCTTTTTTACAAGGGTTATTGTGAATGATTCATCAGTGCACATTATTCCAAAAGAAAAACAAATCTGCATTATTTTTTAATATTTATTCTTAAACAACTTCCTGATGTCATGTTTCAACCAATTAAGTTTTCATGTTGACATTAATTAAAAATAAATAAATGAATGCAACACTTTAGTATGATTTTAATATTACCACTGTAGTATTGTGGATTATTCATTCAGTTCATTCATCAAAAATTTAATAACTTTTAAACTTGATATGGTGGCAATATGGTGAGCACATGCATCGGTACATTCATTAACGATTCTAGGAACTGTATTTCAAGAATTTCAAGATTTCCATGTAATATGTATATTTTGTTTTATTTCAGGTTTATTTCAAGTGATGAAAATTATTTTTAATAGTTCTACTTTTAAACAGTAACAACTCATTTTACGCATGCATTAACTCAAACAAAAAGTAATCTTTGAGAGATTAGTGAGCTGTCTGCATACTGTTTAAATTCTGATTTTATTTAAATGCTCCACAAATATGGAAAGCTTACATAGAATTTCTACTCTCTTCTATCCGCTGTCTGCTGAACTTTTTTTTTTCTTCTGATCATCAACGAGGTAAAAACATGTATAAAATGTTTGTTTCAATAATTCTCTTAAAATTATCCTCCACACTGCAAAGTTAATTTAACAGGAGGGGGCAACAGTGCACAGATGAGTTTTACCTCCAGGGGGCTGCTGTCGACTTTGGGTTTGGCGGCGATAACGTTTCGAATGACTTTAGGGGAAGTGGAAGGTCGTCTGGTTGAGGACACTGCATTTTCACTCCAGCAGGAACATATGGCTGTTGTAGCTTGTTAATTCCTGTTCACTAGCTTTATGTGTCCTATAAGCCGTAAGCTACTGATGAATGCTAGGGGTCTGTAGGGACTTACCTGCGAGAACACTGAGCTCTTACCTCTACTGCATTGTGTCCGCTCTGTGATGCGTTCATTTCCTGTTTTTCTAAGCAAAAAAAGAGTACAAATCAGACTAAAGATTAAAGAATGGGTGAATATGTACCGTGGATGACAATTTGAGTAAATATGCTTGAAACTACGTTTATAAAATCACATACACACAAAGTTCACATTTTGTGGGAAAAAACAAAGAAACAAACAAACAAACTTCTGTACATGACAACTCTCGGAGGGATTGGCATGGTAATATACATGATAATGTTAATGTGTTTGGTCTTGGTGGAATAGATCTGCTATGCTGCTGCAGCAGAGCAAGTACCGAGACTTGCTACTGCCAATACATCCACAACATGCTGCTGTGAGCATGTAAGAAATCCTGCTGCACATATAGCATATATGAAATAACCCCTATATATAACATACATGAATCACCCCATAGAGGATCTATACAGGTGGAGCTGGGGAAGGTGGAGGGTTTCTGAAGCACGCTGCAACTGCTACAGCAAGAATTAGAATTAGCAAATTAGTATTTGAATGTTGAGCAGCGAACTCACTGGCTGCTGATACGAAGAGAACCAATCAGCTGCGCCATGTAATGATGTCATTGTGTCAGATTGAGTTTGACCTATCGGACCGCGCCATCTAGAGTTCCATGCCATAACTTTGGATGAATGGTATATATGAAAATGTTTCTGTGAGATTCACCCAAACATGACTGAGGAGATAAATAAATAAATAAAGCACAAGCCACTTCACTTAAATTCTCTCTTTTGTTTGGTACTGAACTTTTGATAATATTTTGATATTTACTGTATAGCTGGGAGTAAAACCTGCTTGATAGCGTACAATGGGGCTAAAGGCGCCACGGGGTAAAAGGCGCCTTTGATATTATTTTCATCTAAACGACTAGACGTCACAAAAACGTGGTGTAGCACTTTCCAAAACATTCGCTTTTCAAGATGCACGTGTATATTTGTCTGTTCTTTGACGCGATCGCGCGCAGCAGCACAAAGTTGATTCTGTGCTTACTTGATCTAATATTTTATGTTTTTAAAAATTTTGTAGATTTAAGTAGCAAATGAGAATCGCTAAAAGTAATGCATATATTTTGAGACAAAGGTCTTCTTTATGATTTTCAGTTTTGTTTAAGATAATTAAAGCAACAGTTTTTAAAAAAACAAAAGAATATGTAAAAGGGGTAAAAAGCACCCCTGCTGTTGGGGCTAAAGGCACACAGTAATTAACATGATAATTAATAGATGGCTGACTTTTCCATTTGTTGACATG